AGTTTAGTTTTCATTGCAGCCGCTGAGATAAGCGACAAATAGCATTCTGCAGGTGTATATGGCAGTTTCCAATCTATAACCTCTGTGATCTGTGCAGTCCATAACCTTAAATGTGAATGACCGCACATGTAAAAGGGTGCTGTGTATTTAAAATTAATACTAAGAGCGTTTAACGCGCTCATAGAGGGGCTAGAAAGTGCTCCACATCGCAGCACTGCACATACAACTGTTCCGGTGGGTGCATTTTGGACATTGAATACTTTAAAAGCCACCTTTCAATATGACTGAGGACAAAGCCCCACCAGTCCTATGCCGGTTTGTGTCCGAAGCCGGCGAGTTCGAAAGCGAAAGGCTGGACTTGCCTGCGGATTGTACGCTGACACAGCTTACACTAATATGCAACGGCATCTTGAAACAAGAAGATCCTGTGCCTTATAAGTTCTTCATTCATGAGCACGAAATAACGAGTACGTTAGAGAAAGCCGTCGAACTGACCGGGCCGCTGATATCTGAAAGAATCGTGGACATTGTTTATCAGCAGCAGGCAGTTTTTCGAGTCAGGCCAGTCACACGATGTACCGCATCAATGCCAGGCCATGCAGAAGCAGTAATTTCTGTGACTTTTTCGCCGGATGGCAAATATTTAGCAAGTGGATCTGGAGATACCACCGTTCGGTTTTGGGATGTCGAGACACAAACGCCCAGATTTACTGGCACTGGGCACAAAAATTGGGTGCTTTGCATTGCCTGGTCCCCAGACAGCAGCAGGTTGGCGTCGGGCTGCAAAGATGGGAAAATAATCATCTGGGATCCAAAGACAGGAACCCAAGTGGGTAAAACCCTGCTGGGGCACAAGCAGTGGATAACATCCCTCAGCTGGGAGCCCTATCACAAGAACCCTGATTGTCGGTTGTTTGCAAGCTCATCAAAAGACAATGATGTAAGAATATGGGACTCAGTGTTGTGCCATACGGTTTTGACCATCTCAGGTCATATGAAGGGTGTTACTGTTGTGAAATGGGGTGGGTCGGGACTAATTTACACTGCATCTCAAGATAGGACCATAAAAGTGTGGAGAGCCGCTGATGGCATAATGTGTAGAACTCTTGAGGGTCACGCTCACTGGGTCAACACATTGGCTTTGAACACGGACTATGTTTTGAAAATTGGGGCTTTTGACCCAGTGAAAGATGCCAACAAAGACACCTTTGTACCAGACAAAAAGAAGTCCCAAGAGTTCGCTTTGGCCAGATTCAAGAAAGTGACTGAGTCTGTTGGGGAACGGCTAGTTTCAGGATCGGATGATTTCACGCTATTTCTCTGGGATCCTGAAAAGGACAAAAAGCCGTTGGCCCGACTGACTGGCCATCAGCAACTGGTGAACGATGTAAAGTTCTCTCCGGATGGGCGAATTTTAGCTTCAGCATCTTTCGACAAATCAATCCGACTGTGGAATGCAAAAACTGGCAAATTCATTGCCACCCTTAGAGGTCATGTCCAGGCAGTCTACATGATTTCATTCAGTGCGGATTCACGGTTTATGGCCAGCGGAAGTGCCGATTCCACCCTGAAGCTGTGGAATCTAGCGACGAAGAAGTTGGAGTATGATTTACCTGGACATGCTGATGAAGTCTATGCAGTGGATTGGAGCACGGATGGCTTAAGAGTGGCCTCAGGAGGCAAAGACAAAGTGCTCAGACTGTGGCAGAACTAGCAAAGTAATGTCGTGTTAAGCATAATATACGAAGTTTTATTTTCTGATATGGGTTTTATTTTTTGGCTATTACGAAATTTGAAAATTTCATATAGATATGAACTACAGTACACAATCACAAAAGTTTCAACAGAAATTACATAAAATTTACTTATAATGTGGCAATCAACAGTACGAGTTCATGTACGATATGGATAAATTTGGGTAGACACTACCGGGAAGACTCACGGGCCGCCAATACCACCAATTGTAAAGCACTAGAAAAACATAATTATGTACAGATTTTTTACACTTGAAATATCTGGAGAATTATACGATGGATTTTAATAAAATCGCTGCGAATTTGTTCTTATATTAGACTCATATTTGGATGAAGCAAGCGAGTTTATTCGCTTTGGGCAAGTGGAAAATTTTTTAGTGCCCTGGTACAAAAGCAAGTCATTTTTTATTTGGTGGCTGGAATCAACAAATGTTTTTTAACTTGATGCACCAATCCTTTGACATTTTTGTGCTCTTAACAAAATCTTGTAGCATTCATGGTTTTTGTGCAAAAAATTTTTTCTATCTTCTTGTCAATTAATTTTTTTAGAATGTATCGGCCTTATTTCCGATAAAAATTTCAAAGATTTGCTTGAAACTTTTTGGCATTTTCTTATGCTCACATATCAGGAAAATCTGCCGACTACTTACAAGCTCGTGAAAGCTGCATCATTTCGTAGTTTTAGTTCCCATATCGTCAATTAATCAATGAGTATCCAATATACTTACAAACATATGCAGGCTCCATATGTACAGAGATGGCTTTACAGTGCTTCGCACACTCTCTTGGGGGTTTCAGTGCAATAGTGCGTTCTCCTGACCCTTGGATAATAAACACATAACTGCATTCGGGATTCGGTAGAGAATATGGCTCAGCATTGGCTCCATCCACATGTAAAAAGCGCTCCACAGCTTGACCAGTTCTGTTCAAGCGAAGAGATAAAAGACATGCAATATTTGATTTCAACACGAACCTCTCGGGAAAAAAATGGGGCCGTGGAAACACTTTTCTGATAATTCTAGCAGCAGCCATTTTATTGACTCTCCATTGGATATGCACATTGGGAGACAGAGCGTGCTCATCTAAACTGAGAACATCTTTTATGGAGTTCACGTCTAAGTTGCGAGTTTGCAGTCTTGAAGAATCACTTGCTAACTCGGCAGTGTAATTTTTGTAGAGCTGCTGAAGATCTTTGAATGATACTTCTGGTTGATTTGTCTATAAATTAAATAGCTTCATAAAACATCCGACTGTGTGAAAGTAATTGAATTTTGCATTAAGTTTTACTGCAGGGCATTTCTCTTCTACAACATCGTCTTTCAATCAACCATTGTAGGAACTTTTAATTATACACATTAATCATTCACTTAGGAATTGAGTTAAGAACGTGCTAAATCAAATGCACTCGCCTTGATTATAAATGGGACTCCTTCAAACACCTTCTTATAGGCATTAATGCCTTCTACTCCAGTCAAATCTATTACATTATAGACATTTTCACAAGGGGAACAATCCAAGTCGGACAAGTAAAAGTAGGGATTTTCAATAAGACAGCTTTCGTCATGAAGATCTAAAATCGCAAGATCAAAACACTCTTAGGCATGTTGGGTGCTAATATACCTGTTACAGATGGGAAAAGTTTGATGATTGGCACAGCTAAAATCCTAATGAACTTTAGGGCTGGATAGGTGAGCCCCTGGACATTCCTCAATACTACACTAGATGTCGGGGTGTGAACGTTGAGTAAAACATACATAAAAACACTTAAAGATAAAAGGACGACGATCGATATTTTCAATATTGATGATTTGAACACATTTTGGTGGCTTTTGGCTTTGAATTCTGAAAATGATTCCCGAACGATTCCATCAATTTGTTCGTCTGTTAAACCAGTGTTCTTGGCACATTTTATAATGCTTTTTATATTGCGTTTGTACTCAATTAGAAGACGTTTTTTAGACATTTTATTTTTAAATTTTACATATTTTTCTTTGTTTATTTACATTTTCCTATCTCATACTCTTCAGATTATAGAGGTTACGCTCTACAATCGTTCCATTATAACCCTAAAGTTAAAGAGCAGACGTTGCATCGTCGCAATTAGTTGTCAATAACCCGGTTTGTTTACGTGTGCAAATCGCATTTAATGGATTATATTTTCTTCAATTCCTAATCCTATTTCATGGCTTAATTTGTAGATGTGTCATTAGAAAGATACTTTTTTATCACAGGTATCTGAGGCTCACATAATTTGACATTGTAACGCTTACAATTCCTTAAACGTACTTGAAACAAGTTGTCTGTTCCAGGCCTTATAGAAAGCTACCAGGTTTCTGTTATTTAGAATGAGCATTTAGCTGAAAATATGTCTTTTGTAATATATCTGAGTAGAAGAACTCGCACCCTCAGGTTGCTGGCATTTGCAGCTGTCTTAATTTTTATTATATACCTGCTAGCCACTTATGATAAAGAGACTAGCAATACCTTTGGAATTGCCAGCAGATTAAGACAGGCAAGCATTTATAGCGGCTTTGAGCTGAATGTAATGTAACAAGAACCTGGGCATTTTCAGGGCAAAACAGTGGAAAGGGCAGTTCCGAAACTGGTATCGGAGCTGGGCAATTTTGAGCCCAAGGAAATTGAGGACAGAAGCGGGCCTGGTGAAAAGGGGGTTCCTCATCACTTACAACCCAATCAGCAAAACGATGCCGATCAGTCAGAGTCAGATTATGGCATGAACATAGCTTGCTCTGACGAGATTTCTCTGGGTGGGTAGCATTTTATTTAATTTGTGTTTACTTGATGTGAAATGATGATGAATGGTCCCGTATTAACGTTAACATGTTCTAAGTGAGAGGTCTGTAGCTAGAACCATAGATGAATACTGAAATTGGCCTGATATCTCTCATTTTCCATAAACTCCTTTTTTCGCATTCGCCAATCAGTCCAATACGCATTCAGAGAAGAAATCGTCGGATTTTCTTTCTTTTGGCAATTCGAGCGCATGGAGGGAATGTTTTTCAAGTGTCTGAGCGTGGAGATTTCTGGAAATTGCCATTTATTTTCTTAAAATATTATTGGTTTTTGCGTTAATAACTCCATCTGAACTTTCTCTAGGCTTGAACACATTAATGCTCATATTTTAACACCCTTTTTGATAAATCCATGAGAATGCTATTTTTAAATACTTCGAAGCTTAATTTCATAAAATTACCCATACATTTAGAACATTCACTATTAGATCTTAGTTTTTAACTCAAAACTATGTCTAGTTCTTAGAATATAAAAGTATAATATTATTCCAGATCGATCAATATTGGATACAAGACTTGAGGAATGCAAGCATTGGGATTACCCAACTGATCTTCCTTCGACCAGTGTGATAATAGTGTTTCACAATGAAGGTTGGTCGGTTCTCTTGAGAACTGTTCACAGTGTGCTCAACCGCACGCCCAAGCAGTTCCTTAAGGAAATCCTGCTGGTTGATGATTATTCGGATAAGGAGAATTTGAAATATGATTTGGATAATTATATAGAAAAGTTTAATGGAAAAGTGAGGCTGATCAGAAATTCACAACGTGAAGGCTTAATTAGGACGAGAAGTAGAGGAGCAGTTGAAGCTAAAGGGGAAGTAATTGTGTTTTTAGGCAAGGCGCTGTGTTGCTTATTCTAAGCTTATGTTTTAATAAAACTCGTTTTCGGAATAAATAGATGCTCACTGCGAGGTCAACACTAACTGGCTGCCTCCCCTGCTGGCCCCAATTTACCGGGATAGATCGACAATGACTGTTCCTATAATTGACGGAATTGACCACAAATCGTTTGAATATCGCCCCGTTTATGGCGAAGACAGACATTTCCGAGGTGACTAGCCTTTAAAGCTATTTAAGTTTGTTTAATTAATAAGAAAATGGTTTCAAGGTATTTTCGAATGGGGCATGCTTTACAAGGAAAATGAGGTACCGCAAAGGGAGCTCCGTACTAGGAAGCACAACAGTCAACCATATAAAAGCCCCACTCATGCTGGCGGCTTGTTTGCCATTGATAGAAAGTACTTTTTGGAAATAGGCACTTATGATCCGGGTCTGCTGGTTTGGGGCGGAGAAAATTTCGAATTGAGCTTCAAAATTTGGCAATGCGGAGGCAGCATTGAGTGGGTACCATGCTCCAGAGTAGGTCAGTTCTGCAAAATTCTGATTAATTATAAGACCGAATTTTTCTCAATAGTTTGAATTTGTTAATTCAAGTGTTAATTTCAATTATTTCTTTTCAGGACACGTGTACCGCAGTTTTATGCCCTACAATTTCGGAAAACTGGCTCAAAAGAAGAAGGGCTCTCTTATAACAATCAACTATAAGCGCGTCATTGAAACATGGTTTGATGAAAAGTACAAGGAATACTTCTACACCAGGGAGCCAATGGCGAGATTTTTGGATATGGGCGATATTAGTGAGCAGCTTACTTTGAAAGACAGGTAGATTACAATCAATTATTTTTCATTAAGTGGGTTTTAAGCTACTGTAGCTATTTAGCGCGATGTACACGGTGTAGCTAGCAATTTTGATTTTGGCGACTTATATCATCAGAAAGTCCTAAATTCTTAAAGCGAATGTTTTTCTTAGTCTTTACAAGTATATTTATAATTAAAAAAAATATTTTAGGAAATTATGTTGTATAGCATTTATCAATCATCTATTGTTTTAAGGTGTAATCTATTGTTGTGTAAATTTATTTCCGATGAATTTGCGAGTGAGATCCGAGAGAAAAATTGAATCAATCGAGAACAGTTCTTAAGTATTTTAAATTACAAAAAAAACAGATGAGTTAATTTTTTTCAGGCTTGGCTGTAAGAGTTTCCAATGGTACATGGAGAACGTAGCGTATGATGTGCTTGACAAGTTTCCGGAACTTCCTCCAAATATTCATTTTGGCGAAATGAGGTGAGTTTTTGCAAATTTCTATTAAAAATTAGCAAAAAGAACGTTTCGGAGAGGGCATTTTCAATCGAAGAATTTGGCTGATAAAAAATTGTTCCTATCATTAAACATACATACAAAAATGACGATCTAAAATAAGATTACATCTGAAACAGCCACTGTGGAATTTAAGCAATGCGCAACAAAACGTTTGTTGGTTTTAATACGAAATATATAAATTTAATTATGTGCATTCATGCATTGAAAAAGATATAAACCGCACATTTTCGTTGCGTATTTTGATATGGAGATCGATAGGAAAAGTAGATTAACTAAAATCTGTAAATGTTTTTCCATTTGCGCTCTTCACAAAAGGCTTCTAGCTTTCTGCAAATTTTCTGCATGCGCTCAAAGGAATAAGGTCAATTCCGCATTTCTGCAAATTATGCTTTTATTATTTAAGTAGTACATGCATTTATCAGCTCAAGCATATACATAAAAATCATCACAATATCCACATAAAGTGTAAGTGCGGCGTAAATATACTCCTCAGGAGATATTTCCTGCCTGCGGCCTCCTAAAATGCACTGCATGTCGTAGAGAAGAAACACGCTGAAAATGAGCGTGGCAATGCCAGAATAAACGAGCCAAAGCACTGGCGTGTAGGTGACTAAAGAAACAATCATCACAATTAAGCCGAAAGCCATGAATACGATTGAAGCTACTGCTATAATGAAAGTATACTTGGTGATGTCGAACCAGGTTTGGATTGCCAGCAGTGAAACCACTAGGCAGATGAGAGCTGTGCTGGACGTAGTTAGTAATAGCACTTTGGTTGAGTAAAAAATTGTTGCTGCCGCACAAATGTACGAAAGCGCCAGAGTGAAAAGGAGCAGCAGGACGAAGTTCAAAGGAAATATGCGCCTGGTAACTTGATAGCACGTCAGAGTGATGTAGAGGACCATTTCCAAAGCAGCCATCACCCAAAACATCGGAATATTTGTGGCTACGAAGTCCTTGGTCGGCTCGTGGAACATCACCAGCAGGATAAGACCGGTTGTGATCAAAAGCTGCACGGATAAAATCAGAAAAACCTTTTGAATAAAGTAGTGACGTATTCTTTGGTCCATTAAACTGGGAGAGGTTAGTCCATAAGGGTAGTAACCACCTTCTGGATCAGGGTTGGTTTGATAGCGTTGAGTTTGGCGAGTTATCTGCCCAGTGGCTGTGGAGTAGGCGGGCGGTGGGTGACTGTTGTAAGGTGGAGGCGCTTCACTGTTCACCACTATTTCCTATAAATACGAAAAAAATTAAATTTGCTCGAATTAAACCAACAACTGACCCTTTGAGTGCGGTCGTTTCTGCTAAACATCGTCACTTCCTGGGTGTTGGTCGTTTTCTCTTTCAGGCAGGATTCGATTGTGGCATAACTTTCGTCTAACTGAATCACATCTTAAATATAAAAAAATTGAAATGGGAAATTGCATGAAATCCAGTCGTTGATATAAGCTTCGGCTTTTCCCAGGGCAAGAGATACACTTGCTAGGGATTTCAAATCGGTCTTTTTCGTTTCGTGATTTAAACGTTTTGATAACATTTCTGGTAATTCTAAACCTTCTAAGTTATTTTTGAGCAGTTTAAGCAATCGCTCCCAGGTTTATTTTAACTATTTTCCGATTTTATTTATATGATTGGCGAGGAAAATTTCTGCAAATGATAAAAATGTGACATCATCAAGAAAAAATTTCCCAAATCGTTAAAACGCAGATAGCACAAACAATCCTTTTACACACTCCTTCAGTCATAGTATGATTTAAAATAAATTCGCATTAATTTGCTTACCTTTCTTGCCCCGAAAGCCATTTTCATTAACCAAGCTTAAACTGGATAAATCCTCAGCATCAAAGGACTGTTTGCTTAAATTCGGTTCTCCCAAAATATTAATGCGAATCTCGGTTGTAAAAGAGAAGTTCTTTGAAGTGTTCGGCTCTTGGAACTGGATAACATCGCTGATCTGTTTGCTGGCGATGGAAATTACGTTGTTCTTGTTAGTCGCTCCTTCCCCTGGATCGTAACTCTGCTGCGTTGGTTGGATATCCTGGGAATCTGAAGGATTTAGCGATCTTTCAGACATAGGAATCGATTGAGTTTGAGTTGTTGAGTTGACAGTGACAACAGGTCCAAATATAACTTTTTTGTGCTAAAAGCGATATTAAACTGAGGACGGGTGGACTGCAGAAGTGTTGATTACACCTAACGGATTGCGAAACCGCTGCCATCGTTTGAAAAACGAATCTTTTTGCTCTTGTTTCAAAAACGCCGATGTTCCAATTACCTGAGAACAATTGCAGCTACGAAAATGTAAGAGACTAAGAAGTTGCCCAATTAAACGGTAAAAAATCCACATCGTGTACATGTGAAAACTTGTGATCATAGATAATGTGGCGTAAATATTTGAATAAATTGCCCCAAAAACTGTAAGAGTTGCGTGTAAAAGATTGTAAAAAACCCACACGTTGGACACTCAACTGGTATCTCATCAACGGCTCGGACACTGAAAAATTGCGGTGCTCTATCGGGTCAAGCAATTGGTTCGTTCTTGTATCTTCCGATAAATGAGATTCGACTCTTTATAAACTGGGCAAACCTTCACAGTTAATAGTATTAATTGAAGTGTCTTCAGCTTGCCTTTCTTAGTCAAAATGTATAGATTTTTATACTATTTGTCTTTTCAGGTCAGTAGCCGTGCGTAAATGCCTGGACACTCTTGGTCATGGACCGCCCTCCTTGATGGCTGTTCAACACTGCCACGGCTTCGGAAACAATCAGCTCATGCGATTGAACGCTAAAGGACAGCTGGGGGTTGGTGAACGATGCATCGAAGCTGATGCTCAAGGAATAAAATTAGCGTTTTGCAGGTAAGCTATTTATATTTTTTCTGAGCTGCCGATAATGACTTACTACGAGTTTAGGCTGGGAACAGTGGATGGTCCATGGCTGTACGACGAAGACACGCATACTCTAATGCATAAAGTGCATAAGAAATGCGTGGCTTTGCATCCGCAGACTTCTCATCTGTCTCTAATGCCTTGCGACATCAACAATGCATATCAACAGTGGCTGTTCAATCCGTTGACACCCAAGTGGTAACCGGGTGCCAAATTTCCGTTGCTCATTCCATTTTTTCTTATTTATATTAGTACGTTTGAAAGGCAATTCTTGAATTAGGATTTGTGTCATAAAGATGCATTAGTTGAATGTACATAATACTTATTTTTGTTATTAAATCGGAGGTCTGTTCGTTTTATAATAAATTATATTAAATTTGTACTAATGTTTGTCCTGGAGCTTAAAGCTGCAGCTAGACTAGACTAGTTGAAAGACTAAGAGATATATGTAAATATCTTTCGTTAAATAGGATAGTCTAACAATTACTAATAAGGAGCAGGTAATAACTCTACAATCATTAATATTATCATAGGAAAGTATTTATTCGTAGCGTTTAACGTTTAATCAATCAACGATTATTCTAAACATGCAATATGAAGACTAAAGTTTAGCGGTTCAATAAGCCTTTGTGCCTTTTTGATAAATTCCTCTCACATTATCTAGTCTTTGATTCGAGTTTCCGTTTATTTTTCGGTAATTTTTTGAAGAGTAGTTAGCTATTCATGTGAACTGTAAACAAGAATGGAAATCATTTACTACTTCCAAACTGTTTTAAAATCCGCTTTAGCAGATGGACGAATGCATTTTGGTATTGAGATAAGATTTCAGTTCACTGAAGGGTTACAGTTTTGCTCATTAATAAAAAAAAGGAATCAGTATTGCTCAATAAAATTCACTAAATACCCTAATTATTGTGTTTCTTTTACCAGGAAACATTCGACTGAGCCTTTTCTTCTCTATTTTCTGATGGTTATTAGGGTAAATTTTACTTGTAAAAACTAGCCAATAAACAGTCGTACTTAAAATAGGTTTTATGAAACGTTGTTGTATATTTAGGTGATATATTATTAATAAATGTCATTTTATATAAGTGCAGTTGTCTGGTTTTCAACATCTAAGTCATCCTACTGTTCTTTGATTTTCTGAGCTTTTATGAGAGCAACGAATATGTTTTTTACATTGTTTGAAAGGGGAATAAATAATCGTTTACTGCAAAATCCGAAAGGAAACCACAAATACTTAAAATTTTTCAGACCCTTCAGTTGAGTAATTCGTTTTAGGTTTTACTTATTGCATAAACCTTTATCTCCTTTGTTTTACATCAGCGACTGCAAGTTATTTCTATTATAAGCATTTTTTTCATCAGCGAGAGGGACTTATGGCTTCCCTTCTGGATACTTTTTTTCTTCAGTGAATGTTCCTTGAAATATATTATCGTCATTTGAACCATTTTACTTATCTCATGCGGAAGACATACACTCTTGAGAAGAAGAACGCTCTTAAGAATTACAGTTTGCATACCATTTAAGGCATATACAAGGGGGTAAAAACTAGTTTAGATGCTTTTTTTCTTCAAAATCATGCACATATTCATTGCATATGCAAATGCTATATTCAAACATCCGGCATATACCTACAATGAAAATTATTTTGGGAGAATTTGAGTGAATGCAGGTAAAAATCGCACTTCTAGATGACTTTGCAACTGCTACATCTGATAAATAAATACTGGCAAATGTAGACGAGTCACGCATTAAGCACACTAATCTGTTCTCTCCGATGATGTGAACATAGTGACGCTTTAATTATACTTATAATAAGTAACCTTCCAAGGTTTTGTAACAACAGGTTTTAAGTGGGAAATGTTTACGTTTACGAATTCGTTAGTTGGAGCGATATGATTAAAATGTATCCCTAGATACAATTCGAACCAGTTTTTGCAACATTTCGAAAGTGATCAGTTCGTCGTGAACTTAGTGATGGTAGCTAATTAGTATCTATATAATCAACTTTCATCAATATCTATATCCGTTTGAGCAGCTTACGTGTAAACTTTCAACTATACCTAACTATTGAAGTGCAACATGGGCTCTCTCTCTCCTGAATTGCGGAAACTGATTGCGAGAATTGCAAAAGAGAATGATATTGTAAATTATACAGAGGAAATTTTCAATAATGTTGCCAAAGAAGGAGATGGCTATATGGGCATACTGGAAGCTTTGAATATAGCTGATAAAGACAACGACAATCAACTAAGTTTGGTAATAAAAAGAGCGCCTACTAGCGAAGCTTTGAGGAAACAGTTCCCAACCAGAATTATTTTCGTTAGGGAGATTTACTTCTACCATGAAGTCGTTCCAGGTATTTAATACTCCACAATATCACTCACCATTCTGCTCAATCGAACCCTTGCAGCACTAAAGTCATTCCAAGAGAGGCACAGCATTTCCAGTCCTTTCACCAACATAGCTAAAATATACGGATTTATTGAAGACGAGTTTAAAGAAGTGTTGCTTCTACAAAATCTGAAATCAGATGGATACAACACATGCGACCGAAGAGAACCCATGGACTCTCATCATCTGACTTTGGGCTTGACCACATACGCAAAACTACACGCCACTACGCTTGCAATGAGGCGTTTGGAACCAGAAACATTTAAGAAAACCACCGCAAATATCATGTGATGAAAACCGATTTAATTTAAGGCAATCCAGCTTAAATGATGTTGTTTTAGGACACATATTATGGTGGATTTTGTTGGTAGCAAGATGGAGAATCCTGCTCAGAATACCGACATGTTAGGTGCATTTTTTTTGCCGACTCTCGCAGCCGTTAAGGACAATGAGAAACTGACTCAGGCTATTGAAAGGGCCAAAGAACATGTGCCTCGGAATGTTTTTAAAGAAATATTTGATCCGACCGATGAGGAATTCACTGTCTTGGCACATGCCGATTGTTGGAGCACCAATCTCATGTTTAAATATCAGGTGGGGGATTTTATTAGAAAAGTTGCCAATGGGCGTGAATATTTATGTACAGGATGACTCAGGAAAAAAGTCTGATTTTGATGTTTCTGAGACTGGAATGATTGTAATTTAAATACCAACACAAAAATATTAAAAAACCAACAAAACGAAGGCAATATTTTTAAACAATTTGAAATTATTTCTAATAATTCAATTTTGAAGAGATTAAATTAAAGAGTTCAATTTTAAAAAGAAACATTCATTCAATTTCATATGTATTTAATGCAGACCATAACACAGTTTAAGTAAGAGAAATAGAAATTGCGCTTTTAAACTGCAGTTTAAAAACAGTTTTCATTCAATCAGTGTTAGAGTTTCTATATTTAATTATAAATTGTATTAATTTATGTGTAACAATATTTTGTATGATTTTGATGATGACGATTTTTTTTATCTACTATTGAACCCATCTTTTTATACTATGCAAAATATCCGTAACCTTCGCCTTTATATGGTTAATTTAAGTTAACTGAGTTAACAAGTTATAACTCATCGGTTCATAAGTTATAAGTCATTTATTAAAGCTATACGAGACCCGAGACTGGAATTTTCACATCTAAGAAAAAAAGACATCAACATTTTTTTCTGAGTAACGTTTTACTACTTTGTTCAAATAACTTAAAAAAGTTTTCTAGATTGTCCCAGCAACAGAATTGAGTAGAAAGAAAGTCGACGAGTTTTCTTGTAAAATCGATCTCCCAACTTTTTTTCATAAAAGATTCAGTTTGCCAGTATTTCACAGTAAAATGTTAGGAAAAACACGGTTTTTCTGTTTAGAGACAGTGTTGTTTATAAATATTGACCTAAAAATGAAGAAACCCCAGTTTGCAAAAGTTTTCCAAATATTAATAATTATAAACTTTTGCCTTATCAGTGCGGGGAAATATTTTTGGAAAAAGATCCACAAATAATTATTAGGGTTTTTTTTCATAATTCGAAGCTGCAAAAAGTTTTTCAAATATTTTTGCAAAGCGGCTAAGAAGGCTATTAAGGATTAAGAAGCATTATTTTTTAGTTTTATTTAAAATACTGACAATTTTCAGCTATTTTCTGTAAAAAAATATAAGATACATTTTATTGGTACACTCGCAATAAACTCACAATTTTTCAATATTTCCACAGAAAATCCCTGAAAATTGTAAGTATTTTAAATAAAACTAAAAAATAATGCGATTTTTGCGTCGAAAGAGTTGCTTAATAGGAAATTTAAAATAACTTAAAAAATCTGTAGAGCGATGAGGGCGTCGAATTTTCCAAATAATATTTGTAAAATTTTGCTCTGGTCGTCTTTTCAAGATAATCCTAATTACTTTCGGTAAAAAACTGAATAAAATTATTTGGTTTTTGTGCCAAATTCGAAGCTGAAATGGGTTTTCTAAAGTTCCCAGCAAACCGATGAATAAGGCGAATTTTCTAGCAAAATTAATTTTGTAATTTTTGCCTGAAGACCCCGTTATTGTCAGAAAAGAAGAAGAGTTTTCTGCGTTTTGGATTAAAAACTTTTAGTTTTATGATCAGTTTTGAAGAAAACCTTAATGGTTTTTGGGGAAACACGGGAGGAATTTATTTTCGTTTCTGTCCCGAATTCGACGCTAGAAAAAGTTTTCGTAAAATTTTTTCAAAGCTGTAAATGTATCTTGTAATTTTTCGCGATTTCCAAATAATCTGTTATAAACTTTCGCTTATTGTGTTCGTTTTTTGATAGAAAATGACTTGATTTTTGTTACAATATCGATGTTGGAAAGGGATTTTAAAACTTCTCACAAAGCGGAAATACCTTAAGATTATCAGAACTTTAAGTGAAACGTTGAACGAAACAGAAAATTGAGCATTGAGAAGAAAGAGTAACTTGACTAAAACTGGTAAATTCTGAAATTTTGAGGAAATTTTAAAAATATTATTAATAAATGGCCTTTAAAATAAGTCTAAAAAGAAGGAAAAAAAAGTCATCAACATTTTAATTATTAAACAAAAAAAACTATTAATTAAAAAAAACAAAATTATTTGATTCTTGACCCAAATTCGATGCTGTAAAGGAATTTCGAAACTTTTTACAAAGCAACGAAGGAGGCGAGTGTTCTAAAAAAATTTATTTCATAATTTTTCGAGAAAAATGCCTCAAGATTGTCATTAGAAGCAATTTTTGTGAAAATTAAGCATTTAGAATAAAGAGTTACTTTTTAAGTTAGTTAAGTTACTAAAACTGGAAAAACGGAACTGAGTAACTGCGCCGGTGCGCTGGGTTGGCGCACCAAGCCATTTCCGTAGCACTGCGCCAACTCCTGAAAATTCACTGAGTTACCCAGACCTAATTAAACATAATGGAAACGACGGTTTGCGTTACAATCAACAATTGCGTTTAGATTTTTTTAGCTTTTATTTTCTAGGTTTAGATCTTTGTAAAGTGATTCCACATAAAAACACACATGTGTTATATAAGTAAAGTCAAAAATAAACATCGGGCATAGAACATTAAAGGCAGAGAAAGCATGTTTTGGTTCTTCCTGTTCAGCTTTTAGACACGTTATTGGCTTGGAATTGTAGATTCTATAGCTTTTGAAGACCCTCGATTGTTGCCGATAGAATCAGTGTAACATCCGCTTACCGCCAAAATTTTTCGCACGTTTAACGTGGGTGTAATGAAAATTTGAAACTTCTGAAACTGATTTCTCCGAGCGAAATAAAAAAAGCAATTATGCGGTAATGGTTCTAAAATCTAGATTAAGGAAGGCGCAACCCTTTTAATAAGGCCGTACAAGAGGTTACGATTTCTTGCCTCAGTAAAGGTGCAATTTTCAATAACGATCATCTATGCACCTACGAACTGTTCAGGCTTAATCAGAATTGGGTGAAAATCAGCTTTCAAATCCAAATCAGCCGCCAAATACATTTTAATACCTTTTCCAAAATGACTGAATTTTCCAGGACCCATCAAATCCGAACATTCCCACTGATGTTAAACTAATCGACTGGCAAACATCGCACGTAACGAATCCAATGTTCGACGTTACCTACTTCCTACTAATCAACGCTGCTAAGCCAGATCTGGAAAACTACCAAAAATATCTGGAAATTTATTACGAGGCTTTATCCCAAAATTTGAGCGCCTTTGGGTTGGACGTTGGCTCGGTCTATCCGTTCGAGCTTCTTCAGGAGCACTGGCGAAAATTCGCTCCCATAGGTAAATTAGCGCTTAATTAGGATCTTATATTGAGCATTTACCTTTTCAGGGTTTCACATGTGCATACTAATGCTGCACCAGTCCTTGAGCGATTCGAAAACTCACGACTTTGAGCAAATGGCTGCAGACGGACGCGATTTGTTTGATTTAGCTAGCAGAGACATCATTATTAGCGATCGATTCAAGCAAAGAATGAGTGACTTAGTGGAATTTTTAGACAATAATCAGCTAATTTAACTTGTAAATAACCATTCTCTAATATAGTATGCCTGATGTTTAAAACATTTACACCAACTTCGCTCAAATAAACTAAACCGTTCACCGCCATGCCAACAACAATGGCAATTAACATTTTGACCCAATCAAGTAAAAAATGATGGTTTCCTTAATTATTTCCACGGACGTTGTAACAATTCGGTTTAAAGCCACCACAATGTGCCCAGAACTAGTGAGGAATCGTCGCGTGTGTGTCTATAGAGGCTAAATCTGGTGTGTGTCGCGTCTAACTGTGCCACAAAGACAACAATAAGGTAGTTGACATATTTTCTCTTAATTATTATTCAACAAACTTGCCTGTTGCACATTTCAGGCTATCGCCGAAAATCATGAGTGAAGAACTATTTTCCATATTATTCTTCTTTATAATTCTGGGAACGCCGTTCTGCGGGGGCCAAGATTGCGAGTATTTAACAGATCAACACACCTACATATGCGAAAAAATCATCCATCAATTCCCTAACTCGTATTATGGAAATTATCAGTTGCGATGCCAAGACTGCCAGATCCAGAGTTTCGACGCAAATTCGTTTCCGTATGAGAATAATCTGAAAGCTTTTAACCTTTCCCACAGCGGTTTGGAGTATTTGGGCCCAAAAAGCTTTAAGAACTTCTTCAATTTGCAGTTTTTGTACTTTCATCATAACAGCATCCGAAACATATCAGCCGAAGCATTTGAAGGCTTAAACGAGTTATTTGAGTTGCATTTGCAACACAATCAACTTCAAACTGTTGTGGCAGGTTTCCTGACGGGCGTTTCTAGCAACTTTGTAAATATGTCTGCCAATCGCCTGGAGAGTTTACCCGCAAAGGCTTTTGCTGGGTCCAACAGTATGCTCAATCTGGATTTATCGGAAAACGTACTTAAGGATTTGCACAAGGATACATTCGAAAAGCTGGATGAACTTGAGGAGTTGGATCTGAGCTCGAATTCCCTCTGCAATTTGCCGCTGGGCGTGTTCAAATCCATGAATCGTTTGAGGCGGTTGAATTTAGCGAAGAATAAGTTCAGAAGGATCCACCACGGAGCATTATCCGGGCTGAAGAACTTGAACTTTCTGATATTGGCTCAAAATCAGTTAACCAACTTTGATCCATCCGTTCTGCTGCCTTTGATGCGCCTGACCAAGCTGGATATTAGCGGGAATGCCATTTATACCTTCGATGCCCATGAGATTCTTTTGAATGTCCCCACAATGCGATTCATCTCATTCGAGGACAATCTGTTTTCCTGTGTTCTACTGAAAAATGTACTTCAGTTCTTCAAAGGAAAGCTGGTGGAAATTGAAAACAACGTATCGAGATTTGAGTTTTTGAATAGAAACGGTATTGCTTGCATTGAGGACTATTCCATCGAACAGAGCATATCGCTGGAATATTTCCTACAAAAGTCGAAGAAACAAGCGGAGCTGTTCATGTCGACGAATTATTGTTGAAAAATGCCTATGTGTCAAGTTAATAAATTGTGTTTTTGAATATTTTTTTACTGTTCTTTTTTCACATTGGTTGCTAGTATAAAAGAGTTGCTAGCAGTTAGCAGATTTGGTTATATGGGGGACAGAAGTATTTACCAAGAAACCGTTATGGGTGTTGTAAACACTCACTTTTGAGAAAAAACGGCGCTTTTAAAATTCTTCTTTGCCATTTCAGCTGGTAAATAAATTGTGAATATTTTGAAATCGCGCGTTTAGTAAGGTACTAAACGTATCGATGGTACAGGTTCATACAGCAACAAGTGATAAATCATTGTTTTGAGAAATTCAATGTTAAAGCTTACTGGTTTTTTGAAATTGTAATAAACAACAGACTAAAGTCTGATTCATTTATATGTTCTGCGATTGTTGTTAGCAGACTGGCTCATAACAATAACAGTCCAAGTCCAATAACAATAATAAGTCACAAAAAGTCCTTGTTTTAATAATTCTAAATATTTTTTGTTTGTAATCATTTTGTGACTTGCCGTATGAAGCTTGTCCACTTTGTTTTCTATGTTGAGGTGCCCGTTTTTTAATCAGTAAGATACAGATTTATTGCTTTTCTATATTTTTTTGTTATAGAAAACTTTTAACTTACAATAATTGTCTGTTCACATTCATCCTGCAAACTATATAACCTAAACTACACACTTCTGATCGGAGTCACTATTATCTGCTGTAGCTGTTGTCGAAGTACAGGGTAGCTCTTTATAAAAAGTCGAGTATTGACTGGGAATTGCATTCCTGTTACACAAATCCATCAAATCCTTTTTTTTCGCTTGCGAAATTTTAATGCGTGCTTTATACACTTTTGTAGGTTTAATGTTGATATGATGACCTCGTCTAGTTTTGTGGCGGACATCAATTTCACTAAATTCATTTTCTGAATATGACTTTTTGTAAAAAGTGTAAATGGTTTACTCTTGATTACTTTTATAGCACAATTTTAATTCCACTGCACATTTGCATAGTTGGTGTCTTTAACAAAGTTTTTTTCCGATTGCTGCTTGCAGAGACTTTATATGAGAAAAAATGGCTGTAATTTATTTCGATCCATCTATAAGCCTTGTCAGTTTTCTTAGCAAGCCTTATTATTGGAATGAGTTGCTCGGGAGTGTAGATAAACCCACTTTTAAGGCATCGTGTTTTTCTCTTTTGATTAAGGCGTTCATCGCATCTCCTTCGATCTATGTATGACCAACAACTAAAAATTTGTATGTGGTTTCGTCAATGGATCCAATAGTATTTACGCAATTGAATAACAAAGAGGCAACAAATTTATTCTTGTGTTGTCCAGAGCAATTGTCAGAGTAAAAGGTGAAGTATTTACTCTTTGTGTGGTGTTTTGGAAAGACATACAAACAGCTGCCAATCTCATTGGCCCCACGTTTGCCTAGGCCTTCATGCCATGTAAAACAGTAAACCTGGTTTTCAATAACATCATAGATGGTAAAGTTATAAGTAGCTACACGTCGTTTATAAGCGCTGATGCCTCCACAAGGCACAGAGACAACATGATTTTTCATAACGTGCTTGCTTTAAATCCTCCTCATAATTTTTAGAACATTCGCAAATCATACACTGGTTCTTTTTTGGCTGAAAAATGCCAATATTAAAATCTGCATTAAAAACCATCTCATGCATGCTTTTTTGGTACATGGTTTTTCAATTTCTTCGCAATGTGTTTTATAGAGTGTGTACATCGATGAAATATTAAGGCTTCCATCTTTGCATTGCTTATTGGTACCAGTTCTACAATAATGCGAAGACAATATTGTAAAATATTTTATGGTTTTCGAATATCCTCTTTTAGGGCATCGCTTACTTTCTTCCACCTTTCTTGTGCTTTCCCCTCATATCTAGCTGTGGAACCCCACTCTCATCTTTTTTCTTGGTTGCAGTAAATATAAGTTTATTGCTTATGCCCAATGTTCTCAGATAAAATGTCTTGTATACCCTATTTCTTTCATCGTTTAATTCAAAGTGGTAAGCATAGTTTTAAGACTTGTTACTATTGGGTGTATGCATTCTATATTTAGGATTGATTTGTTGCATACATTGCAAAAAATTGTCTCTGGCGATTAATGTCTCCAATGCTCCAAAAGCTTGTATAAATTTCATCCCGCACTTCTTCAGTAAAAAGATCTCTGCATTGTAGCCTGCAATTCTCATTGCAAGGCAGTCCAACTTTACGAGCAACAACTGCTTCTTTCCGGATATTAACATATTCTAATCCGTTATTTCTTCTCTTCTTAGCGACCGACCTTTTCAATTTATCAGGATTTCGTAAGCGTTTTATAGTCAAATTAGTATCAGATTCCTTGTCTTGGTTATTAACATCTTCAGCAACAGCTTCTGCATTATTCAGTTTCAAATAAAATCTATTCCTGGGTTTCAGTCATTTATTGTCTCTATTATTCAGTTTCCAGTAGATTAAATTCTGCGCTGGATTCTAAAGAATCGCTCTCAAAAGAGTAGGTCGAAAAGTTGTCAGGTTAGAATCGACGTCAATAGAAAGCTTACTGTAAGAGGAGGTGCATTCTGTTGAGATAAATTCTGATCTTGTGCCTGTACAGTTCCCAGAGTAGCTTCAATGGCATTTGCCGTATTTATCTCCTCAGCAAACTCATTTGCAATATTATCTCAAACTTGGACGATGTTCTGGGTATCCAAATTTAAGAACTCTAGTTGTCTATGAAAATTATGTGCCAAAGAAGTCTCAACAACTTGATAATGGTTGATAATAATATGCTCTTCTGATTCTAAGTGTGAAACATTATCTGCAATAATAATATTATTGGTTTGGTTGGTGGCATCTGTTAATTCTATCAAGTCGTTATTGTTATTGACAAAATAATTTTTAACCATAATGTTTTCTTCTATATGGTTTTCTGTATCTATCTAAGTCCACTGTATATTCTTGCTCCACGTTTCTTTTTATTGTAGTATAGGTTCCATCTTTCGCATATTCATTTATCTGCATCGATTTGGGCTGATTTTTACTCCAAATGGAGTTTTTTTATTCTATTATTTATTTGAAAAAACATTAATTTGAACTAAGGGCTCCGTTGCCTACTTTGTTAAAAACTACCTCGTGTTTCGCCACAACGTTGTATGAAATTAAATTCATCCATTTTGCGACTAAATAACTATTTATAATAAGCGAAAAGCGCAAACAGCAAACCCACAATTCTCTCTTAAAATAATGACAAGCAATTAATCTCAAAATTTGCTGCGATTAACATAAGATATTTTGCGATTTGTTCAGTACCATAAGGCAATAACTCAAAATATTGCTCTATGGAAGAGCAACGTGTCTAATTGTTGCTTTGTTAAACTAGAATAATTATAAATTCGGCTTAACGCAAAAAGCAAATATGTCAATTAAAGTTGACAAAACCAAACATTTCGAGTTGTTCCTGTATGCAAAAGATTAACTACTTAATTTTGGACGTATTGCCGTATTAAACTAAAAAGGGCCAAGTTTAGACTAGTTGCTGTATGGAACTGGACCATCGATATGACGATGAAAGTTTTGAAACAGAAAAGACCGGTTAAGCGTAAACTTACTGTTTGTCTGTAACAGCAAAATAGAACAAATTCGAAAATAAATATTTAAAGGCGTATTTGAAACAACAGTCGGACACGCCGATGGACATTTTTAGTTGCGCATTTTTCCAGCCAAAACTTTTTCTGGGGTGCTTGATGTAACACTGGCTATTACCAACTTTCTTATTCTGAATGATCACCCTCATGATATTACTCATTTTTTGGAATTTCCAAACACTTCTAGGCATATTGCATGCTCAACCAAATATAAAATTTCTTTAGATTTTTTGAAAACTCACATGAACAAAAGAAAATGATTTTATTTTCATAATTTACGACAACACTCTGAAAAACACACGGTTTATCTCTAAAACGGAAAAAATATAATTTTCTCAACGGCTTGCAAACGACGATTTTTGCAGTCTTATTTGGGTCTTAGAATCTGATACCTGACCAGATGTTTAAAAGGTTTAAACGTTTGTTCCTTGATGGTAATGCAAATTTTCAAACAATTTCCAAGAAGTAACCCAATTGGAAGCTACCAATTTTAAAATAACTTTTATTACCTACTTACTTTTTAATCGGGATATAAGTTACTCAACATTATCTTAACAGCCTTTGCTTTATTGAATTACATGGGGCAAACCTCAACAAGAGATGGTTTTGATATTATCATAGAACACTCGTCGACAAATTCCACGTATATACTTGGTTCCCATTGGACAATTCAGGCTGTGAAGCCAGTTGTTGATGTATGGACCTCCTGGAACGCCATACTGGATCACATTTGGATGTTGAGGCTTCATATTGATAAACTGATGATAAGGCACTTTTTCCGCTAAAAGACCGTGACTGATGACCAAAATCGTTACTAATAGCCCAAGTAGAGCCAGTTTTGAAGCCATTTTTGCCAGCTAATCAAGTTGCACATTTTTAAAGCAAAAACCTAATGAGTTAATAGAAATTTCGTGTATTGAATACTGTCCATTACGCGGCGACTTGATTACATATGTTTGTTCAACCTTTGCCATTCGCATTGCGATTACGAATTGATTAAGTCGATTAAAACTAGGCACAAAAATTAGTAATCAAAAAATACTTCAAAATTTCCAGAGCTAAAGTGCTAATTCAGAATTTAGTGAGAAAAAGAAACATTTTTCAATGGCCGATAAAAGCCCTCTTGATACATTGATACACGAGAATCTGTTCAGTTCTTTTTCTCGGGGATCTAGAACAATCGTAAATAAACCTCTCAAGATAAACCTGGGCAAATGAAAATATTGTTTAACCGAATTGATAAAATCTTGCACTTCAAAACCCGATTTTCATACATATATCAAAGTTGCTGCCTTCAACTTCAGTGAAAGTTAATCATGAGGGGAATGGGTATGTAACTCTGCAGCCACTTGAAGCGGCTCTGCTAAGTGTTTGGTTGATTTTTGCAGAGTTTTTTGTCGGCATTGTTGCTTTGGCCTGCATTGAAGTAGCGGCTGGGGCACTTTTGCAAGACACGACCGGACTTGTCACATTGAACTACGAAGCATCTGAAGATGGAATCACTTTGGAATTAATCAGAGGTAGATAGCAGTTTTCAAAAGCAACTGAGATTGGACTCAAATTGTTGCTGTTATCCCTAATTTATTTTAAAACTAACTTATATAATGCACCTAATTTTAGATCAATTAACGTTTTGGATATTACTTAAATTGCTGCAGTTATTTGGACTTTCATATACAAAGTGTCCTTAATTTCTTAACACTTGAGTATTTAGGAGAGAAAACAACCCTTCGTGGGACGATTGGCAAAGGCCGAAACCTTCAGGATGTCTCTTGCATTGGAAGTTCTTTATGCAAACTAAGCGACAACGAAATACTATCAATTACCCCGATCCAGCATGGGTTTAACGTTACATGGGTCAAAGATGATCCCACTGAGGTGTTTGAGGACTGTTATGAATTGGATTCCGGTAAGTTTAAACTTGCATTTGCCGATGCTAAGTTACATCAATCGGTTGTTCCCTTAGGATCCACCAACTGGTTTGGAGGACCGCAAAGGTGGCACCAAGTGTGGCCTTTAGAAAAAATGACCATCGATGGTAGCGAGCCTTATGTCATTAAGAAAAGCGATAACTTTGGGGTGGCTGAAAGGTAACTGTGTACAGTTGATTGTAAACGAATGATTTTCATTAGAATTTTTTCAGATACTGGCTGAATTCCAATGGAGTATACATCTGGTTGACGGACGTTACTCCTCTTTGGGTGGACCAAAACAACAATAATCCGGGCCAAGTGTGCTTTAGGGCGGAGGCTAAGAGTCCCTACATCAATAGAGAGAGAGTATGTGAAATTATTTTTCAGCTTGACTGTTTTTTTTTTATTTCTTTTTGTAAATTTTAGGTCCTGCTCGCTTATGTTATTGCATCTATGGATGATCCTAAAGTTGCGCATTTGAATGCTATCAACAGTGTTTTGGGTAAGTACGTAATAAGGCAGAGTGTCCCCTATATTGCTGTGAATGTCAATAAGTTGAATCCTGGATTTTCCGAATGTTTCTCATCAGTTGGTGATGTTATAAAAATTTCGTTTTTCTAAAAGCCTGTAAATATTCAGTCTATAGAAGAAATTTCGTGCTGAAACCTCTAAAATTATCAGTAAAATTCCAGCAGTCCCTGCTTTGCAAAGCTGATTAAACCAGCAAGTTGCCTAACGCTTTCCTTTACAAGACGGTAACTACGCCTGAGTAACACTGTGTTGAGTTGCGCTTTTGAGTTGTTGCCGCCCTCTGAGTAAATGAGTTTTAACTCATTGGTTAATGGGTTATAACCCAAGCAAAAAAAAGCCATCAACATATTGCTTTTGCGCCTACAATTGTTTGAAACTATTTGGTCTAAAACGGAAAAATCCGGAAATTTTGAAGAAACTTAAAATTTTCAGAACGATGAGGATGGCGAGTTTTCCAAATATTGATTTCTCTGGTCGTTTTTTGAGGAATCATAAATTTTGTCGAAAAAAAACAAGATAACTTTGTTTCGATTATGTCCCATATTCAAAGGTAAAACGTAAAACCGGTATTCGAAAAAGACGATAATAGAACACCAAACTGTAAAGACGACCACTTTTCTTGTAAAATCCATATTTTAACTTTTTTGCATAAAAGACTCAGCTTACCAATATTTTACAGTAAAACGTTAGGAAAAAACGCGGTACTCTGTTTAGAGAGTTTTGCTTAGAAATATTGACCTAAAAGTGAAGAAACCGCAATTTAAAAAACCAAATTATTCACATCTACAAAAGTGACGAGTTTTCCGAATAATTGATTACAAATTTTCGCTTGTTCTGTTCGGGGAAATATTTTTGGAAAAAAATATTAGGGTTTTGTCCAAAATTCGAACCTGCAAAAGGTTCCAGAAAAAAAATTACAAAGTTGTTCGGGAGCCGAGTATTCCAATAAAATCTATTTTATAATTTTCACAGAAAATACCTGAAGATTGTCAGTATTTTAAGTAAAATTAAAAATAATACGTTTTTTGCGTAGCAAAATCTTAATGATTTTCGGGAAAAAACGGGAGAAACTTATTTTCGTTTTTGTCCCGAATTCGACGCAGAAATAAGCTTTTGTAAAATTCCTACAAAGCTATAGATTTATATTGTAATTTTTCGAGCAAAAGACCTCCCGATCGTCAGTAATTTTAAGTAAAACTGTATAAAATAGAGCGTTTTTGAGTGTAAAGTCAAGGAAAAAAATCAGCTTTCTTTCGCTGATTCTGTTCGTGTTTTGATAGAAAATTATATAGCAAATTCGAAGCTGGAACGGAATTTCGAAGCTTTATACAATGGGACGAAGGGCGCAACTATTCTAATAAAGTTTATTTCAACATTTTTGATTTTGTTTTTGTCATTGTCATTATTTTTAAGCATTTTTGAAAAAGAGTAACTTTGTTAAAACTGAAATTTTTTTTAATTTTGAAGAAATGTTAAACATATTATTGATAAATGGCCCTTAAAATAACTCTAAAAACAAGTGAAAAAGTCATCAACACTTTCCCAGCTACGGAACTGCGTTACTGCGCCGGTGAATTGTGTTGGCGCACCAAGCCATTTGCGTAGCACTGTGCCAATTCCTAAAAATTCACTGAGTTACCCAGGCTTAACGGTAACTTCTTGCTGACAAAAATGTGCAACCTTTCTTTCACACATTCTATAGCCTATGGTTTGTGCTTAAAAAGGTTATTTTCGTAAAAATCGCATTTCAACTGAATTTTTGCGTGCTTTCTAAATGTGTGTCAGGTCAAGTTGGATTCGGGATTGGCCCAGCAGAAAATGGACACGAGTTTAACCAAGAAAATCGGCAATGAGCTTTCGAAAAATGATTGTTAAAACTGCAAAAGTAGGTAGTTGACGATGAACTTGCAGAATTAGATGTAAGTGAAGCATAACGAATCGAGGAAATTTGGCATCAGAAGGTGACCCAAAACGGTTAAGTGCAGAAGACCAATATTCTGAAGAAGGAAAATATAATGGGGAAGACTCTTTATAAGCATATGAAGACTGAAGTATTGATGAAGTAGTAAAATTGAGATTAAGGAAGAGGATAACAAAAGAAGGAGTTCGTAGAAAAAAGAGGCAAAAATTAAACAAAAAAGACTACAGTACAATAATACTACAGAACCCTAAAGAAAAGAAGCAATCCACTCACATTAAGCTTCATTCTTTCAATAGTAATCCACATACAAAAAATTAGTTTGAACTGATTTTCCAAAACCTGTTCCTTGCTCAACTTACACGCTCTCTTAAAGGAAATCATTTCAGCATTCCAATTTGGGCAAATAGAAACTTGATGTTTTCACATTCTGTAGCCGACACCTCATGCTTAAAATGCAGATACTTTTATTAGTTACATCACAGTTAATTCCAATTGCTTTGTGGACTTGGCAAGTGCGAGTCTAGAAACCAGTTTTTTGCACCAGTTTCTTTACAACGTCATATCTTGTAACCTGAGACAAGTGGCAACCAGTTGAGAAAAATAGCGCAAAATTTGGATTATTCCGGACTTTGTTAATGAGAGTCTGAACAATCATATAAGTTAATAAATTGTCCTTTTCAGGATATTTAACAGTTCAAAAATATGACAAGCATGTTTGAATCTCTTTTTTATCTTGCAACTTTGCCTGTGTCTCAAAGTAATATTTCTATAATAATCTTGCGAGGTTTCTTTAAACTTTTTGGAACATTAAAGCTGTCATATTTTGGTTCTTCATTGCATTCATTGCAGTTTTTCCACCTTTATCGAATGATTATATTGCGTTCCTTATTGCAATTTTTTTATATTAGATAAATTACTTTCTGTAGGTGTGAAAGTGCTAGTGGATTAGCACGTGCTAGTAGCGCTTTCCGAGACTGTGGCAATTTCTAAATTTGAATATTTGTTAAGTTTATGTTTTTTTGTTCTCAAAGCATTCGACGCTTCTTCAAACAGTTTCCCTGTGTCGGTTCCCTCATTGTTTTATTTCAATCTTATAGCTTGCTTTCTCCCAAATTTTTATTTTTTAGTTGCGTTTTATGGCACGCATATAGTTCTCGCTAAATGCGTGCCAGAAAACGCAAAAGTTTAAGTGTCGAAGAAGAAGAAGAGTTTAAATGTCTCGTATTGCATTTCTTGTCGATATTAATCACTTCCTCTATCGTCCCCAGATACTGCTACCATGTTAACCAATTAAATCAAATGATTTTTCTTAGCTTATGCACTTTTCCATAATCGAATAATTCGAATTATTTCATTCGATTCTTCCGATCACTAAGTCGTAAAATAATTTTTTGGTTTTGGACTGTTTCCAGTACTTTATTAATAATTTATCTAACACGTATTTTTTTGAAGGCGCACCAGAGGCACATCCTGGAGATAAAATGATAGAAGAGCCAATTTGGACTACTTGGGCCAAGTACAAGAAACCCATTAACGACGAAACTGTTCTGGAATTCGGAAGAACCATCCGCAGTCATGGTTACGAAGGCGGCCAATTGGAAATCGACGATTCTTGGGAGGTAAAATATCATCTAATTCCAATTCCTCCTATCCAGACAAATATTTCGTTCGTTAGACGTGCTATGGATCTCAGCAATTCACCGAAGAAAAATTCGCGAATATCCAAAACACCGTTAACACATTACATGAGGATGGATGGAGAGTTAGTCTATGGATTCATCCTTTTGTTAACGACGATTGCGAAGAAAATTCCGCTATTGGAAAGCGTCTAGGTAAATCTTTGGATACTATTTGAGCTGATATTCTAGTAAGTGATTTCAGGCTATTTTGTGCACAATCCACAAAATGAGACCAACGCTGTTTGGTGGAATAGCGATTATGGACACCAAATCGACTTCACTAAACCGGCGGCTGCACAGTGGTGGTCGGACCGAGTGAAGAGCATCCAAGAAACCATTGGTATGGACAGTTTTAAGTTCGATGCTGGAGAAGTTGATTATGTGAATCAGGTAGACACAGTCTTGTAGCTGTTTTAGAATTTATTTACTTTAATTGAATCGGGATGGCTTTAGCCTGGAGTATATGCTGATGCTGAATCCAGTCCCAATGCTCTCACTCATTCCTACATTGAAACCTGCGTACAATTTGGAGATTTTATTGAAGTCCGATCATCGTTCAGGTAAAACAACATATGAAAATATAGATAGTAAAATAACTAAATGATCAGAGACCTTCCAGTTTGAACAAGACTCTAATCAGGTACTTTATTGATGTTTTTTAATGTGCAGAAAAGCTGTAACTTTCAGCAATGATGATGGTGTGATTGCATCTTGGCATGAAAGCATGTATATACGAACAAAACTTTCCCAATTTCTTCACCTCCACACCCTATAAGAATATTCATCATTTACTTACATGGAACTAAAGTTCTGTTTATTTTGCAGAGGGCAAACATATGGCAAATTCATCAGGATGTTGGACAAAGACTCGGTTTGGGGCCTGGAGAATGGCTTGGCTTCGTTAATTACCACATTGCTCCAGTTGAATATGAACGGATATGTTATGTGAGTTCTGAACAATCTTCTCAAAAATTTTGAGCTACGTATTGTGATCCATCAGGGTGCTTCCGGACATGATTGGAGGAAATGGATACCAAGTGCAACCAACTGCTGATTTAATCGTCAGGTGGACGCAGGCAAACACTTTTATGCCAGCCATGCAATTCAGCTTCTTGCCCTGGGATTATATAGATGATGTGGAGGTAAAGTCAGCATCACAATTTCTGGCCAAATTTTCATTTGCTGGTTATTTCACAGTACGACATTGAGGGCATTGTTAAGAAATGTGCGGATCTACATACCGAGTTTGCCCCCTTAATCATCAATGCTATGGAGAGAAGCATTTCCGAGGGTTACCCAGTTAATCCACCCATTTGGTGGGTGGATCCTACTGATACAGTGGCTCTTTCAATTGATGACGGTAGCAAAAGCTTCAATTAGTTTGGAACACGTTCAAAAAACGTTTTTCTTAGAGTATCTCCTCGGTGAGGAAGTTTTGGTGGCGCCAGTCATTGTGGAAGGTGCAGTTTCAAGGGACATCTACTTACCGAAAGGACAATGGAGAGATGGAAATGATGGCGAAGTCTACGAAGGTCCAACCTACCTGAGGGACTATTATGCCCCCATTGAAGTGCTGCCTTACTTTATCAAGCAATAGATTGTTGAAAAACTAGAAAATATACACATATCTGAAGCTGTTGTTGCTATGTTGTTTTCAATCATCATCATCCATTCCTCTCGAAAACACTTCAGATTCCTACTCGTGGTTTTATCTCAAGTTGAAACAGTTACATCAAACATCCTGTTCATTAAAGTAGTCGTTTGTGCGTTTGAACGGCCGAATGAAGCAATTTTCATTAGAAATGCTCACTATTCTGGCCCTGGTTGGGGTGTTTTTGGCCAATTCGGCTGAAAGTGCTAAGGTTTTCAGCTCTGGAGTGGTTGATCTTTATTTCGAAGAATCGCCCGATGGTTACGGCTTTGAACTGCGCCGAGGTGAGTAATTGGCTGGATTAGCTTGGAAATGGACACAACATAAATCGTTCCAGACAACGTGGTAAAAATGACGGGAATATTCGGAAAAGGCGTCGACTTCACTAATACCTCACCCAACTTTAATGTAACCATCATGTCAGTTGATGATGGATTCAGAGTCGACTGGAGGTCGTCTGACCCGAATTTTCAAACCACTGACTGTTTAAACCTGCAGTCTGGTAAGAGAAATGCTCCACCGCAGAAAGTTAAATTAATGAGGGATTTTAGAAACGTTGCATTGGTATGGGGGTCCGGAAATCTATGAACAGAAATGGCCCATTGAAAAGCTGCAATTAAGTGGAGATGATGCTTATGTTGCCAGAAAAGACGATAACTTTGCAGGTACAGTGAACTTCCTGTACACGTTTTAAACGTGGTTCTGGAAGACTTTTTAGAGAGCACAGAAAATACGCTTTAATAAAATCAAGGGCGGATCCAGCTTTCGAGTCAGGGGAGGGTCAAGTAGTAGAAATTCAGTCTTTTGTTGTCTATGAAATTAGAAAAAATATTGTTAGTCGTTATAAGCCCAGCACAAGGGGGGGGTTATGACCCCCATGACCCCCCCTCTGGATCCGCCCTTAAATAAAATACAGAAATACAGAAAGTGGGGCAGTGAGGATGATCAAATCATTCAACATTTTTAAGTAGTACTCAGTATTAAAGTGCAAAATTTAGTTGATAAATGCAACCAAACAGTCCATGTTGACATTTTCGACTTCTTAAACGTACTTTTCGTTTCTCGATGCAAAACTCACATTTCAGGCATCGGTTTAAGAAACCGGTTGGGATTCAATACAAATTGACTAATTCCTTAAAATTAACAAGAAAAGGCGCCTTGTTCAAGTTACATGCTCTCTTTCAAACAATCGTGTTTTTCGAAATCGGGCAAGGAGCAACTTTTTGCAGAAAGTTTTCAGAATCTGTATTATTCCTAAAATGCAGATTTTTTTTAGAGTCGCAGATAATTTCGACTTTTGCGCGCTCTCTTAAAAAAAATCGTAGCTTCCAAATTTGGGCAAGTAGGAGCCGACGTTTTATGCTTAAAATGTAGAAATTTCCATTGCATCACTAGTTCAGTCAGATTAGACTTTAAAAGGCTGTTTCGCGCGTCAAATGGATGAAGGTAAACGACTATTGGAAGCTGTTCGGAAGGATGTCAGAATATTGAGACAACAGTTTGTGCACGATGTCCCGCTGTGGAACATTTAAATAATCAAAGAAAGTGCCAAAAACCGTTTTTACGCCGGACTTGTAAACCGCGGATGGTATTGAAAAAAAGTTTAATACTTAAAAACACCTACAATATGAGACAAACTGAATTAAAATGCGTTAATTGGTTTACCCAAAAAAAACCCGATTTTTGGGTTTTTTTAGTTTCATTTCAGACATCTGCCTGAGAAACCGGTTGGGACTAAATACAATTTAATCAACTCTCCTCAAACCGAAAAAACCACAATTTTTTATTAAAGTACTTCCACCACAACAAGGCATCTCTCTTCGTAACACACAAGTTTTTAAACCTTTACAGTACCTGAGAGATACTGGTTAAACTCTCTTGGAGCGTTTGTCTTCATTAGCGAAAGATCTCCACTGTTTGTGGACCAAAACACCGAAGAGAATCCGGATAGAGTTTGCTTCATCAGTAAAAACGAAGGCCCTTATATAAACAGGACTGGGGTAAGTTGACTTACCAGATTTTAAATCCAATTTTAATATGGTGAAAAATGATTTTACAGCTTTTCTCTCAAGCCTATTTAATGGCGTTTGACGAGCCTGTATCGGCGCACCGAAGTGCGGTTGCCCAATTCCTAGGAGAACCTGAAGGTTAATTAGAATCCTCTTGATTTATGGCATTTTCGCAAATATTTGATGGTTTTTTGCAGAGTTGCCTAATGTGAACATGATCACTGAGCCCATCTGGACCACGTGGGCAAAATACAAAAAGTACATCGATGATACCATAGTAAGCGAATTTGCCTACGATGTGCTAGACCATGGTTTTAAAGGGCAAATTGAAATTGATGAGCAATGGGAGGTGGGTAGAGTTGCAAGGTTCACGAAACCCTCCAATAACAGTGGAAGAGTGAAAAGAACTGATTTCAGACTTGCTTCGGGTCTCGGGAGTTTATTCCGGATAAGTTTGGGAACATCAAAAACGTAGTGGAAGACTTGCAGGAACAAGGCTTCCGCGTCACTTTATGGGCCGCTCCTTTTATCAATCCCGATTGTACTGAGCTTATTTTGGAGGGCGAAGAAAAAGGTAGTTTGGTATCATCAACTTTTGCAGACAGATCCTGCTACGGTATTTGCAGGATATTTCGTGCAAAACACCATTGGAAATATGACGACCGTTTGGTGGGAAAGTAACGATGCGCGACAAATAGACTTCACTAACCCTGAGGCCAGTGAATGGTACTCCCAAAAGTTGAGAAGAATTCTTCAGCAGGTTGGGGTGGATGGGTTCAAGTTTGATGCTGGTGAAACTGACTATGTTGCACAAGTAAATCAAAGATTGGGCGTTTTAGAGTTCTCTTAGCTTGACTAATATCATCTTGTTGTAGCCCGGAGTTTACCCTCACGTTGATCAGGAATTGATTCCCAATATTTTGACTAAAAGCTATATCAAGACTGTGTCGGAGTTTTCTAATTTGGCTGAGGTTAGATCTGCATTCAGGTAAGTTGTACCTACTACTTGAATCAGACTTCGAGCTTTAAATCATTTGTCGAATGATTCGATTTTTTGAGTAGCTGATCGTATACTTATTTTAGGAAGTTACGAGGAAAATCCGTCTCATTCATTGGAATTACAAAAAGGCGAAATTACGCATTTATCCAGTTCCTGCTTAATCTTATCGAAAATTTTCTTTCAGAACCCAGAACTACAGCATGTTTCTCAGGATGATCGACAAAGATTCAGTGTGGGGTTTAGATGATGGCCTGCAATCACTGGTAACCACTCTTCTGCAGCTGAATATGATCGGCTATAGTTTGTGAGTAATTCATGTTGCTATAAATCCAATTTTCCAGTTTTCATTTGAATTTCTGTCGATTTTAGCGTGCTTCCTGATATGATTGGAGGCAATGCCTACCGAGCTCAGCCAGACTTGGAGCTGGTGATCAGATGGACTCAGGCCACAGTTTTCATGCCTTCGATGCAATTCAGCTTTCTGCCTTGGGACTTTGAGGATGATGAACAGGTTGATTGATTACATCAAGGTTTTATTTCCTGGCACTAATTTTTTGCGATGTTCTGCAGTTAAAAGGGACGGAAATAATTCGATCAATGGTGGAATTGCACACAAAATACGCTCCTAATATTATTGCTGCGATGGAGGAGAAATTAATCAACCGAACCCCAACAAATCCCCCTATATGGTGGATTGTTCCGTTTGATGAAACGGCACTAGGAATTAGCGATGGTAAAATATAAGCTGTTTATACAGGGTGCCGAATTTTTACACTGTCAGGATTCATATCTTGAACGCCAAGGTTTGAAATTTGCTATTTTCAGGGCTTTTTTGCTATTTTCAGAATTCTTGCTTGGCGAAGACATTTTAGTTGCACCAGTTATGGAACAAGGAGCCACATCTCGGGATGTGTATC